AAATGTTGCTGATATCCTGATAAACATTTTACTAGTTAACCACTTTTTGATATCTTTCAAAAGAAGTGAGATATATAGGCTCAAAGTGGACGATCCGGGTGTCGTTCTATTAGAGGTTTTACGGTAGTTTCTGTTTCATCCAGTTTTCAAAGTAATCTAAATTCTAGCTCTTGAACTCCGTTGGTAATTTTTTCAGGTTTTTCAAAATGTCTGATTTCATTGGTTTGTTCATTGGACTATGAAAGTATAGATGTATCGAACTTCCTTTTTATACTTTACTGATAAAATATGAAAATGAAACATAATTTTAACACTATTTTTTTGTCAGTTTCAGACAATTTTTAAATTGGCTGATGATTTCATTAGTACCGTTTGAACATTACTTAACACATGGTTTTAACTTTCTCGGTTTCCTCAGTTTCTAATTGTGCGGGAAAAATTGTTCTGTATCATAAAGTCGTCCGCTTTGAGGAAACTTCTCTCGTTTTCTGTGAACGATATCAAAAAATGGTCAACTAACAAAATATTATTCAGAATACCAAAATTATTTTGTCAACTGACCAATTTTCGATACCTCTCACGGGAACCGAGATAAATTGCCTAAAAAATAGTTTTGTCAAAAATTGAGCCGCATAAAAAGTTTTCTGTTTCACTAAGACATTATTAATACAACTTAGTTCTTGAAATGATCTCCGATAATTATATGTTCAAACTAACACTAACCTAACATTAACCTAACTAACTCTATCTCTTGAACCCAAAAGAACCCGAATTTTTGCAGTACGTCCCATCGTACGCAACACAATCCCATCAACAACATGAACAACACTCGCAGACCCATCACCACCATCATCACAATCACAATCAACAACCATCTCCATTGAGCAATGGATCCAGCCATGGTTATGCAGCTAGTTCAACTAGCGGATACGACGACGACGACATCTACCATTTGTCGGCAAGCGAGGCACGCGAACGTCTTCGCATGAAGAACCGAAAACATCATTTGTGAGTTGGGAAAAAAGCTTAAAAAAGGGCAAAACATGTTTACTTCCAAGTGGGAGTCGAACCCGTGGGCTTCAAAGCAGCAGGCTAGCGCGCTCCCAGTTGCGCCAGAGCGGCCATTTGAGGATAGCACACCAACCCATATAAAAGCGCATAGGAAATTGAAAATTTTCAGGCACGAGATGTCGCTCAACGAGAAGTACCAATTGGTTAGCAACATGTAATTCAGTCTCTTCTGGAACGTCTTCTAAAAAATTCTTTATTTTTCCATTCATTTTTCTTTCCACACAACACAACCATTCCCCCAAAAACATTTTCAGTAAATAGTTTCTTTCTCAAAAAACACTCGATTCATGACTCCCTCAAAAATTTATTATTTTTTAAAAATTCGTTTATTCTTAAAACTGTATTTCTACCTGTGATACTAAATACACTACTGAGCCGACCCCTAGATACATTCAGTTTCTTCTGAAATTTCAGTTATTTTTTTCCAATTTTCTGTCGAAATGTGCCTTCTTCTTCTTCTTTTCCTAAACTTATCGTCGGTTGTGTGCAATATTATTACTTAAAATAAATTTTCTATTCCTCGCGAAGATTTTTGGTTTCTCTGTGAAACTTTTTATATTAGCAAATGGTGGAATGAGATAAAGAGAGACAGAACAAGTAAAACATGGAGAGAGAGACATGGTATGGTTCGGATGGATTTTTGAAATTTTTAAAAAAATTAATTAAAAGCAAGAACAACGAAAGGAGGAAGTACAGTAAGAAATTCAAGAACGAGACATGTAGGCGTCAAGTTCGGCGTCCAGCTCGGCGGCTGTCTTCTGTGGCTTCGGCTCACGCTTCGGCTTCTTGGTGGCCTTCTTGGCTGGCGGTTTGCCACCAGTGGACATACGGGCAGTTTGGGATCCCAGTCCGCCGGTAGAGCTACGAGGAGTTCTGCGAACTGGTCCGCCAGTGCTCATAGCGGCAGTTCGTTTATCTCTGACGACTTTTGGCTTCTGCTGAGGGACAAAGTTGGTGGTTTCGATCACGGCGAAGTTCATGATCTGCAAATTTCGAAATTGGAAATTATCAGATTTTGTTGGATTTCGAGACTTTCTATTCCGTTTTTCACTGATTTCTTGTCATTTCAGGCAGATTTTTTGCGATTCTTCATGTGAGAAATGTTAAAAATCGAGGAAATCGGCTGATTTTTAACTAAAAATGGCAATTTTCGTTTCAAAAATTTGAATTTTTTCCAAAATCTTCAATTTTCTGGATTTCTGACTTTTCAGATCATTTCAGTGATTTTAAGGCGTTTCAGGCTGGTTTTCAGCAATTTTTGATGAAAAAACTAAGAAAATTGGCCGAGTTTGAGCTAAAAATTACAATTTTCGTTTCAGAATTTTCGGGATTTTGAGACTTTCTGAGCTATTTTTTTTGCCAATTTTCAGTTATATATTTTCAGACACTGAGAGTAAAGAATTCAAATGTAGGTTTTAAGACGGGTTTTCTGCTAAAAGTTATAGGCTGGAGCTGAAACGCCATGTTCTCCATCCACGACGAAAAATAACGCTAAATTTGGAAAATTCGATTTTCAGCTTGTTTTCAAAACCTCCGTCAGAGAAAAAAGATGTTTCCAGTGCTTTAGACAGACTCTCTCCGGTTTTTTAGAACCTTTACCAGTTTCCAGTGCTCCAGATCGCCATCTCCATAGAATACTCACCTTTCCATCGAGCGCAACACCAGCGAACTTTTTAATGAGGCGATCAGAATTGAACTTGGACAGAGTGAGATCTCCGGTGCCGGCTGGCGTACCATCCTCATTGAAATTCACCGACACTTTGCGCAAATTGAACTCGTTAAACAGCTCCTGCAAGTCACTCGAGAGTACGGTATCGGCGAGATTCGAAATGTTGATTCGGACTGATCTCTTGTCTGAAATCCCCCAGATTTCGTGAATTGAAGCAATGAGTCAGCTAACCATTCGAATCGCCACGTCCACCAACAGACTTGCGAATGCCTCCACGACCAGCCCCTCCGCTTTGACGTCTTGGCGTGGAAGCGGCGGATGGTCCGCGTTTTTTGACACCACCGGCTGCTGCTTTCTTGATTGGTCGTTTGACGCCTTTCTTCGTGCTTTTTTTCTTCGACGAGATGATGTCGGAAAGTGCCATATCGATGGAAGTTGCCTTCACCATTTTCGCTGCTGAAAATTGAGAGAAAATTGAAAAAAGACATTTGAGAAAGAAAGGGTGAGAGAAGCGATGATTGAGACGCCAATTTCCCATGAGAAAGTCATGGGAAACATCTTGAAAGTGTAAACAAATTCGAAAAAAATTCAAAACATTTTCAGCGAAATTTTTCGAGAATCCCACAGTTTTTCACAGACTTTCTATTTCTCACTCATCTCTAGACATTCTTCACAACAAAAAATACAAGAAAAATGAACGAAAAGGGCAAAATTTCCGGCGAAATTCTCCGAAAATTCCCAAGTTTCCCGCTAATTTTCCCGAAAAATTTCGCGCCAACGACACTCCGAAATAACGATGCGCGCGTTGTTTAGCGGGAGTTTTCTAGGCCACCGGCTCGTGTAGTCCTCGAGGAAAACTAAAGCTAGTCCTAAATTTTCGAATTCTTTGCGATTTTTTCGAATTTTTCGAGTTTCACAGGGGATTTTTTTTTGGGTTTTTGGGGGTGTTCTATGTTGAAAATTTTGTTTTGAATGTTCAGCCTTATGTAGATCACGGCATTTATCGCCTGAAATTCGTTTTCGTCGTTTATTGCTGTTTGAAAATTTTTACCCGAATTTTTTCCAGAATGGACGGCAGCGCTACTCCAGGTCCAGGGCAAGCTCATGTCAAGTCGAACAGTATGATCTACATTTGTGGAGGTTCGTTAAATATGAAATTTTCAAAAAAAATTGAGAAATTCGAATCTTTCCAAAAATTAGCAGTTTTTAAGCTAAAAATCGAATTTTTTCGAATTGTAAGCTTAAAAATCGAGAAAATTGTACTTATTCCTACTCAAAAAAGGACCAGAATCTTCCAGAATGCCACGGTGAGAACGAGATCAAGCCAAAGGACGCGATTCGCTGCCGAGAGTGCGGCTATCGTATTCTCTACAAGAAGCGCTGCAGAAAGTGTGAGTTTTTTTCCATTTTTTGAGCTAAAAATTTAAATTATGCCCTAAAATCCAGTTTTCGATCCCGGAAAACTAATTTTTATCGATTATTTTTCAGTGATGGTCTACGACGCTCGCTAAAGGATCTCCCCAGTCGCTGTACCATTTTCGTTGAATTTCAAACTGTTTCTCCAACTTTTTTGTCCATTTTTCCCTCATTTTTCGTCTCATTTTACCAATAAAACCATCGGAACACCAGGTGTTACATGTTCCCTTGGGGGCGTTGCGTGCGCGCGTTGCGTCGCCATGGCAACCGGAGACACCTTTCATTCTAGGCTTATTGGGGGCTCTTTCTATATACTCCTCTACCAAAAATGCGTCCAAATTTACTCTGGGTCGATAAAATCTCCGATGAGACTGGAGAAAATGGGTGAGCCTTTTTTTGAAATGTAAGAAAAAATCGAAAAAAAAATAAACAAAAATTGTGTTCTTTTTCAAACATAAATGGCAAAAGATATAGAAAATAAAGGGAGAAAAAAAAGAAAATTGTTCCTGAAGAAATATATTTAAAATAGCTGCTGCTTAATTGTGTACTCTGTCTCGAATCTGTCGCTTCTTGGGTCGTTGTTTACTTTCCGAAGCGGAGGAAGTTTGGCTTGCGGGACTCGCGGTCGAAGTTGTCGAACGACGAGCGGCCGAATCTGAAAATTTACTTTTACTGGAGAATAATCGATAAAAAACGAAAATCCCCGCGACGGGATTGAACCAGCGAGTGGCGCCAACCGCCGCTTGGTGGCACAGAGCGTTGCCGCCGGCGCCATGGGCGCGCTTCAGACAAACGATGTGACAGGCGTATAAGAGTTGCCGCCCGGTCACCTCAAGAAGTTTGGATCCGCCGATCGCTTTCCGAATCTCAAGAAGTTCGGGTCAGCAGCTGCCTTTCCGAAGCGCAAGAAGTTGGGGTCGCTGCGACCTGAAAATCAAAAACCTGTTAGTTTTCCACTGCCTTTCCTTTTTGAATCCCTAACTGACTAGCTTTATGACAGGAAGCTTTGAATGCAAATAAACTGAAATGTATGAAAGGTTTTCACCAAAAATCTGAAAATCTAAAAAGAATTTTTGAAAAACCCACCGAATCTCAGAAAATTCGGGTCACCGCTGGCCTTTCCGAAACGCAAGAAGTTTGGTTGAGAGCGTCCGAATCGGAGGAAGTTCGGGTCTGAACCGGCTTTCTTTCCCAGCGACTTTACGGCTAAAAGAGCACAAATTGTGCTCTTTTAATAGAGGGGTTTTGACTCACCTGCCGATCTACCGTATCTCATAAAGTTTGGCTTTCTCTTCTCCATCTTTTGCAGTGCAACGTCGGCGTCACCCTCGCAGTTTTCGCCTGAAGATTTGGTAAGAAATCTGGGAAAAATGGACAATTCCTGTTTCAATAGGGACATAGATTCGAGGAATATCATGCGAGACTACTGTAGCACGTTTCAAATCTCCTTAATTTCCAATTTTGAGCCACTATATCTCGGTAACTGTGAACGATATCGAAAAGTGGTCAACTGATAAAATATTTTTGAGTTTATGGTAAACACTTTATCAGTTGACCACTTTTTGATACCTTTCACAGAAAATGAGATATATTAGATCAAAGTCAAGGTTGCTTTCTAGATACTAAATTATATTTATTCTGATTATTCACCTTACTGTTTGAACGCTTCAATGGCTTGTTAGTGTTATGATTCTGTATCAGTGCAATCTTTACTTTTTCAGCTATCAGCTACAACTTTCAAAATTTTAGCTCGATTTCGATTCTATCTGAATGTACCCTTTTCATTTAAAAGTGGTGTACGGTGAAATTTTTTATTGCATCAAAATGTGCAGAAATGCATGTAGATTGACTTAAAAGTAAAGAAAAAATTCAAAAATTCCTTCATCGAGAAAAACGCATCGAAAAATATGCTGAAAGCCCTTAGGGACGAGGTTTTTAATAGGCCGCCCGGCGAGTAAAAGCGCGCGAATTCAAACTTTTAAAATTTTTTCGCTTGTTTTCACTTTTTTTTTGTTTTTTCAAGAGTTTTCTAGGT